TGGCTGAGGTCTGGAGAGATGGTACCCAGGTCTGGGGAGAAGGATGATTGGCTGAGGTCTGGAGAGATGGTACCCAGGTCTGGGGAGAAGGATGACTGGCTGAGGTCTGGAGAAATGGTACCCAGGTCTGGGGAGAAAGATGATTGGCTGAGGTCTGGAGAGATGGTACCTAGGTCTGGGGAGAGGGACCATTGGCTGAAGTCTGGAGAGATGGTACCCAGGTCTGGGGAGAGAGATGATTGGCTGGGGTCTGGAGAGATGGTAGCCAGGTCTGGGGAAGGGGACAATTTGTTGGAGGTCTGCGAGAGCATGGTGGTGTCTCCAGGACTTTCATGTTTCAGTAGCGGCGATCAGTTGCCAATGTCAGCAGGGAAGGACTTTTGCTTGATTTAGATACATATTGCGCATCCAGCTGGAGCTCTGGAGGATGAGGACCTGTGATTTTGGGTCTGGCTTAGTAGAGTGGCGTTTGATCAGTTCTTGCATAGGGGAGTTTTGATTAGTGTTCTTCTGGCGGCAGTGTGCTGATAAAGATTCTGGAGGAGCTTGTCTCACTTGGTGCTCTTTTGGGGGCGGATTGATTGGATTTGCGTCAGCGAGCTGAGGCCATCAGGGTCAAGTGCTATTCGGAGGGCAGTTGGATTGAGTCTGTAGGAGGATGTCATGGACTTCGGAGTAACAATGATGGATTCAATGTTTGGTCTTGCAAATGTGGCAGAGGCTCACCTCTGAGAGGGTGGAAAGCCCTGCTGCGGAGACAGGCACATATGGTATCAAGCTTCTCTGCCTTTTTTTCTTTTTTTCGGCTGGTCCTATGCAGAAATGGGTTTTTCCTCAATCCTATTTGCTTCCATCTGTTCTTACATGTAGACGTTATTATGTTACTCTAGAGAATTTGGGCAGGGCCTACTCTTGATTCCCAGGCGTTGTTTATAAGGGGGTGTTCTTGAACCCCAAGTAGTTGAGTCATTGCTGAGGCTGGTCAGTGGCTTATTAATAGCCATGTCTTCCTCAGTATCTTTGAGTTATTTTCACTTAATTACCGTTCCTTTCTCAGAGCCAAATGCCATTTCCATTTCAATCTATTAGGCATGGATTCTTTTCTTTTTAAGGTAGAGATTCACTTTAGGGGGATGTCCTCCCAGGGCCCATCCCAGGAAGGAGAACCATCATGTTCTTGGCTGAAAATGTCTCCCGAATTTTATGTGGCTAGCTAATTTATCTTGAGAACCCGGGTGCTTGCTGTTTGGTCTTCTTTCGCTTGCCTTGCTCCCCTTTATGTTTTAGCATTGTTCTTTACGGTCTGAATCTCCTGCCCCCCATGTGGAAGTTAGGTTTCCTGTGACATCTGACTGTGGTTGCAGCATCTCATGGGGCGGTCTTTAGAATATGGACTGGCATGTTTGCCATGGAAGAGTTGGAGAACTGAGTTCTCGTCTAAGGCCATTGAAGTGTTCCAGTGGGGACCAGCTGTTGGTGGCCTGCTTGGGTGAGGAAGGTTTTCTGAGCGTCCTGGTGAGGTTATTGACAATGATGACTGCTAACATTCCCATTTGGGGGGCGAAGAATTGAACCAACAGTTGTATCTGGTACTTGAGAATGAATTCGGAGCCTTGTTCGTCCATAGTAGCGGCAGTAGATTGAACTTATTTCTTTCCTCCTGATTCAATGGCCATGATTCTGACAGTTGACTGAATTTCCTAGGTTCTTGAAGGCCAGTATATATGGTAATGGTCATCGAGTATCATTCTCATCATCGTTACTTTCTGGAATCGTGTATTTTCCGGTGTATGCCATGGCCCTGTAGGAGGATGGAGGTTCCATAATCGTCGATATGAGTCTTGCATATCATCTAGTACATTTTAACATCCCTGATCTCGCCTGAGGTTTTTTTGCTTCTTGGACGTTAGAATCATTGTAGCTGTAACATCCATGTTCCTACAGAAGAGGAGGACGGAAGCAGCCAATTGGAAAGGTCTGAAAAGATTATAAAACATGAGAGATTGCCTGTGCCAGCGGTAAATCTGTACAATTGGCCAGATGTATTTATAACTGAACTGTAGTCAAGAATATCAGTGTGGTCTGTGGACACGCTAGTCTGAGCTATTGATTACTGATTCACGTGACATTAAGGAGATGAACCAAGACTAAAGTATGAGGATTATTTTTTTTGAAAAAGCAATTTGGACTTGGCTTGTGACTCTAGCACGATGGATAAGCTGGCATTACCTCATTTGATATGGCGAATAAGCCAGGCGCAGTGGCTTTTCTCCAATTCCGTGTAATCTAGCCACTCTAGGGGCCCAAAGTGGGTTGGTTGCTTCAAGGCGTCAGGAGTTCGAACCAGGCGCTGAGCAAGAGCAGACTCCGTCGTCTACTATATAGAAAGAAATTTAATTGGGCGCAACTAACTATACATAGAATCAGGCGAGCATGGTGCGCACATGCCGTGTGAGTCCAGGCCTACTGGGCGAAGGCTGGAGGGCCCAGTAGGATACTTGAGCCAGGGTTTGAGGTTGCTGTGAGCTAGCCTGTGCCCATATGGCATCACTCTAGCCTGGCGCACAAGGCACGACTCTGTCTCAAAAAAAAAAAAAAAAGATATAGGAACAAAAGTATGGTTAGTGGAGATCTTTTTAAAATGGAGATTTAGCGGAGGAAAAAAGTCTTTCAGGAAAATAGGTTTAAGAGTCACTATTTTAGAATATATTAAGCAGCGGTGAAGCTAAGATAAAAAACTTGAATATCGATAAACGCATCTTGTTAAATGGCCACATCTTTGGTCGTTGAATGTTAGATTTGGCGGGCAATACATGATGAGGTCTACCTCCATAAGCTAAGAACATTAGAGGTATTTCTGGAATAGGAATTCAGGTGGTTCCTGGGCGCCAATTTGTGATCTCTTTGAATGGCTCATGAATTGCTGCGCCACACTGACAGTTCTTGGAAGTTCCAAGTAGTTATTCGTTGCTAAGTGGTTTAATTTTTGAGTGCTACGGTACGTTGGCACATTATTTATAGTACATTTAATGGTGGAAAGAAATCTGTATGTGTACCATACGCTGTTTTTCTTTAGATTTCAAATCAATAACTTGCAGCTTCAGTCGAGCCAGTACTTGCTGCCAAGGGTTACACAGTGGATAAGTGGCAAGCAGGATTGAATTTAAGTCTGACAAACTCCAAGCTGTCTCTGAGGCGACCTCTAATGGCATGATGCATCTCGGTTGGATTGCACCCCCTTTAGGGGGTGGGGTGCGCGTTAAAACTGAAAAGGGGCCATTGTCTGGATAGCGAAATGTTCCTTTTGTGGCGGAATATTTATGTTTCTTCCTCAAGAGTTACGCCTTTATCTTTTCACTGTTGTATGTCTTTTACTTTGCTAGAGACTAGAGAAAGAAATGGAACCCATATTAAAGGAGCTGGACCCATTTAAGTCTTTTAATTTCCCAGTTAAAATCATGAAAAGCATTGGAAGCGCAAGCTTCAGGTCAGGTGAGATAACACAGGAGCCAGGTAGTCTGGAGGAAGCTGGAGCAGGATTCCTCTTAGACCAGAGGTTTCAGCCAGCTTCTTCTCTAAGTGTCCAGACTCATTATCACCAACATTACGCTCCATTGTCACAGTCACGATTTTCTCACGCAGTTAGGGAAGGAGGCGTCAAGGGGTGTCTCATTGCCTCTTTTATAGGTGATGAATTGGAGTGGCCCAGTTGAGTGAATTGCCGTCAAAGATGTGCATCCTGGGTCCCCACACTGCAGAAGTCGGCCACGTGACAGTGTTCGTCAAAGCAGGAATCTAGAGTGCGGTATGGCTTCTAGGCACGAGCCATTGATGGTGCAAGGAGGGATTATGGTTAAAATGCCAGGCCTATGCCAACAGGAAGGGCACGTGTCTATACCTGACGATCAAGTGGCCCCCGTGTTGTGTGGCGTAGTGTCAAAGCAGTGATTATTCCAAGATGAATCAGCTTTACCAGGTCTGATGTCACTAAAGGTCAACACAGAATTTCTCAAATGAGATCTTATTCTCCTAAGTTAGTCAAGTGAGGAAATAGCTGGCAGAAATCTAAAGCCTCCCCATCTGCATTGATTTATTCATTCTGTTATCAAATATATATTAATATTTCCGTGCCTCCACATTTCTGCCTGTAAAGGATTATTCTTAATAATCCACCTGAAGGAAAAGCCTGATAAATAGCAATTCATGCTTCCTGCATAACATTGGTCATTTGGGTGAGAATAATGTCCCTAAAAATAAGAGCTATTTAGACTTGTGTAATTTTCACTGTCCTCTTATCACCTTATAATCTGACGGGTTTTCATTCAAGTTTCTAGTTCATTATATTTTCATCTCTATAAAAGGGGCACTGCTTGGTAGGCGAATATATTTATGGTTCTAAGCATGTGTAATAAAGAAAGGTATATTTTTTTCTTATTGGAGGCAGGGCCTCATGTTTCCTGGTTTAACCTATTAGTCCTATGTTACTAGTCAGTGGCTGCGACGATATAGCTATGGTTAAGTGCGATTCTTAACAATATTTTGTTATCAGCTGAAATAATTTTGTTTGTTGTTTAGTTTGTAACTCATTCTAGATGTTTCCTAATGTCGGTATACGTTACCTGTCCACATGGAGCATGCCGTACAAAGAGGGCTTACTGAGCTGCGTTGAAGATGAGGTGGTCTGGATTGAGAATGCGTGAATGTTAAAATATACGCTGGCCTTGGATTTTCAGGATTAGTAATAAGTTAAAACTCATTAATTTTTTAATATTGAGTACTCGTTTGAGATGATAATGTTTAGATAGTATTAGTGAAACCCTATTAAATTATAATCTACTCATTTCTGTTCATTTCTATTTGTTGGGCACCACGAAAATTTTAACGTTAGCATATTATATTCATACGAATTCTTGGGAACATTGCTACGAACTATGATAATTCACTGCCAAAATAAAATTATGTAAAGGAAGCTTGAGGGAGCCCCTGGTTTGGAATTATTTGTGCAGCACCGTCTCAGTTCTGATATTGTTCAGTTGCTCAGTCATTCTGAAGCTGTATGAACATAGCCGATGGGAATTGCCTCCGTAGGTATGATCCCAGTAGAGAAGGGATCAAATTTGATGCCTAAACTCTTAGAACAGCTGCAGCTATTGTGGAGAAGGTTGCCTCCAGTCAGCTCAGTGAAATTGTTGTCAGAGTCCCATGGGCAGTGCTTTGGGACTGATCTTTAGACAGCATGAGAATACATGGAACCCTGGTAGAGAATTCCTTCTTGTTCTGCAACTTTTTCCTGCCTCACTTCAACTCTTCA